TTGTTGAGAAGGTAATTTCACGGAATCAATCTTCGAAACGACAAAATAACATTTTGATATATATGGCCAAAGAAATAAATGAAAATCCTCCAAAATAACTTTTAACAGAGTCTGATGCATGCATTAGACAAAAAGGAAGACAGAACTAAATATTCAGAATTCGGATCAGGAGAATCCATCCGTTGTTATTGTCCTTTTTGGAATTTTTCAGAAATAACTTCACAATAGTACAAAATTTTGTTATTTAAAAGAAATTCGTTAAAAACTCTCTTTTGTGCTACCTAAAAGTTTTCACAATAGTATGAATACTATGAAATTTTCAAGTTGTTATTTATAAGCTTTTTAATTAATATTAAAAAAATGTACCACTATAAATATCTAAAAGAAATGAGATAAAAATTTGTTACCTGTGTTGTACTTCCTTTTTCGGTCAAAAAAATAAATAAAGGAAATTTTTCTTCCTTGATCATTTACTTCAATACAACTTTAATTGGTTAAAACGTATTTGCTCGAATGTCATTTTTAGCTCATGATTGATTATAAATTTGTTTATGTTCTTGATATACCTTGTGATTATTGATTAACAATCAAAGCTTGCATGTACACGCCTCTACATGAAGCAACCTAAGTAAGAAGGTAACTTTTTCACCATTACATATAACAGTCATCTATCGAAAGTTTTATCCATCATTTTTCCGTTTTCTCGCCAAGTTTTGTTTTGTTTTGACAGTAACCAGTTTTTATATTCTTGTTATGGAAGATGTTCTCATGTTCATCATAGTTTTCGAACAAAACCGTCTCTAAAAATTTGCATATCCAAAACAATTGTCGGGTCTGGGACACAAATAAAATAACGTTCGATTTATGTCTTAAGATCGTAATCTTACAATGACAAAAAGCTTGTCTTAGTCTAAACACTACTTTAAAGTCCTAGTCTGAAGCTCTATTTGAGACTAAGATCAGCAACATATATCACTGGTAAGGAGGCCAGCAAGAGGAAGCAACAAGCATCGGATTGTTGTATTGATCAATACCATAAATCTGATTGCTATTCAGATTCTCCGTTCTTGGATGAGGAACCACCGATGGAATCTCCGCCGTGTCTTCACCACCGGAAACTCTGGTTGTCTCACCGGATATTTGCTTCTTGATCAAACCTTGGTCTCTTAATATAGCTCTCAGCTTCTTCACCTACATCACAAGAAATGTGTGAGGATATGTCTCTCTGATAAAATCAAGAACTATGTAATAAAACAAGAAATTAAATAATTTTATTGGAAGAAAAAAAATATTTCATAAGACTCCATGACTTTAAATTAGTGCAATATTGTACACACAGACCTCCTCGTGTAACATTTGCTTCTCTCTTGAAATGACGTTGTACTCTTGCCTAAGAGAGTCGTACAACTGCTCGAGCTGCTTTGCCTTCCACCGTGCACGGCGGTTTTGGAACCAAACCGCTATCTGACGTGGCTGCAAACCAAGCTCTCTAGACAGCTTAACTTTCCTGTCTGAATCTAATTTGATCTCTTCTTGAAAACTACGTTCAAGTGAAGCTAATTGTCCACTCGTTAGTCTCTTCTTCTTGATCATCTCGTTGTTGTTGATGTTGCTCGGAAATCGGTACATGATCTTTTCTGATTCCGGTACAGAGATAATCGGTCCGGTTTGCGTATCAGTTGGTGTGTATGAATTTCCTGCTGTAACACAACAAAGCTTTTTTATCAAACTCCCCCCCAAAAAAAAGAGTAAATTAAACAAGAAGAATAATAAACAGGACTGATAATAAACATAGAAAATGAACAAATTAAACAAAACTAGTCAAAAAGAAATTTTTGTGACTACATATAAACTAAATTATCCGCTTCCATTTTCTATAGAGCGAACATAAACAAATGTCAACTTTTAAAAGTGACGATTTAACTTTTTTAGAATATTGGATCCCAGGAAGAAAAGAAACAAAATTTGGATCCCAAGAAAAAGAAGTACTGCATAATATTAAATTTTCTAGACTGAAGATAAGAGCATCTTAGCTTCTCATCAGAAAAAAAGTAACGTTTTTAGATAACATATCCCAAGGTTTTTGGAATGACGCCTAGCTAGGAAGGTTTTCTCAAATAAATCGTATAAAACAAAATAAAAGAATATACAGAACTATTGAGTACATTCGGAAGTGGGAAGATGAGTTTTTCCTAGTTCATGGATTTGTTGTGACAACAAAACAAATTTAAAGCTCATGGATTTGTTAAACTAAACCGGAACTTACACATCTATATGTGCTTATAATATAAACCTACATATTGGTGGATGCATAGATTGAAAACCTTACCCCATTACAAGAAATCCACAAAGAGATGGGACCATGGGTTTAATGAAAATAAAGAAATGAGAGGATCTATGTAAATTGGTTTGG